CGAGGTCTCCTCTTCATTCAGGCTTCTTACGATCCGGTCGGACCAGTATCGCTCCTCCAGGGCCCCTCCCCCCTCCCTCGAAAGTCGATCGGGGCCCGGCTCCGAACCAGACTATCGATAACGCGCTCGGTAACCCATTTAGGCCCTTGCCGGCTCGCGCCGCGATTTCAGGCCCCCTTCGGAATGTTTTGTTTGCGAAACATCGACGCGCCGGCGAACCGGAGGCTGCGCGATTTTATTCGGAAAATTGTGGGACTCACGGTAATATCCGGCTAAAAATAGGCATTCGATTTTCCGAGACGATCGGTAGGCACGGTGTTCGGATAATAGAGAATTAGACTTCCGAAAAGCTCTAAATATACTCCACTGTATCTGGTATTGAACTTTGTACCAGCTAATGCTTTTTTCCCCGGATTATGTGCGCTTCGTTTGCATGATTTAACCCTTTGCCCTCGAAGCTATTTTAAATGCGAATGTAAAATAATTTCTCTGACTTATAATAGTTTTATTTTATACAACGAAGTGCATTTTATGCATATGACATCGACTCTTGCGACTCGCACAATAGTTAAATGTTAAGTTTGTTAATATAAAAATTATCTGAGAACATGATGCAACAAATTTCAATGGTGCCTCGGAGTCGCCACTCGAGTGCAAAGGGTTGAAAGAGTTTAATAGTAAGGGTCTCTCGTAGATGATAAAATAATAATAGTGACGAAATAATAACAGTAATAAAATGACAGCAATGAAATAATAATAAAATAATAATACTAACGAAATAATAATAATGACGACAGATCTTGGATCGTCGTTACCTTGGAACCGATCGTTAAACGTGATGGACGGATAACTGAAAATCGGCGGAGTTGAATAATTTTCCTACCTGCGAAACGGTGTAATCGTAACGATTTTATGTTCGGATAATCGAGGTTTTACCGTAGTTATTCGAATCGGTGAAGTTGCGATGGGAGACTGACAGTATAAAATTTTGGGAATAACTGGCGGGATTCGTTCGACCGCAACGACCGTAGTAAAATGTAAGCTCTCCCGGTGGATATTGGAGACGGGAATGTTATGGGAAGCGTGCGGCAGGAATTTCGAGAAGATCCTGATAGTTTTAGAGGACACAATTTCCCGGTGATTGCTGAAGGATCAGTGGCGCGTAAGGTCAAGCCTCATCTCGGCCGTATCCGCGGCGAAATACTCTCGCGGCATTAAACAAATCCGAGCTAACCTAGACCGTAATAATGGTCGGACGAATCTCATTCCACGCAAATGTTCCCATTTCGCGATATTCGCTTGCATTCCGACGGAAATCACGGCCACTTTCTGGCGAAATTCATTAGACCGGCTGCTCCATTTCCCACTTGCCTGCCGATTACTCGCGGAACCAACGCGTTTCGTACGTGTTACACGGGCCGCGGGATTATAGACGATAAGTTTCAATTGTGTATCGAAATTTATGCGATGGGAGAGACTCTTCGAGATCCGCGACGTCCAACGTCCGCGAACTCAAAATCTTTGGAGTTCCAAAATCGAGTTTCTAAATCGAGTTCTGTAAAGAGTTCTAATGTTCACGAGTTTCAATGTTCAAGAGTTCTAATATTCACGAGTTCCAATATTCACGAATTTAAATATTAAAGAGTTCCAATATTCAAGAGTTCCAATATTCACGAGTTCCAATGTTCAAGAGTTCTAATATTCGCGAATTTAAATATTCAAGAGTTTTAATATTCACGAATTTAAATATTCACGAGTTCTAATATTCACGAATTTAAATATTCAAGAGTTCCAATATTCAAGAGTTCCAATATTCAGGAGTTCCAATATTCACGAGTTCCAATATTCAAGAGTTCTAATATTCGCGAATTTAAATATTCAAGAGTTTTAATATTCACGAATTTAAATATTCACGAGTTCTAATATTCACGAATTTAAATATTCAAGAGTTCCAATATTCAAGAGTTCCAATATTCACGAGTTCCAATATTCAAGAGATCTAATATTCGCGAATTTAAATATTCACGAGTTCTAATATTCACGAATTTAAATATTCAAGAGTTCCAATATTCAAGAGTTCCAATATTCACGAGTTCCAATATTCAAGAGATCTAATATTCGCGAATTTAAATATTCACGAGTTCTAATATTCATGAATTTAAATATTCAAGAGTTCCAATATTCAGAAGTTCCAATATTCACGAGTACCAATATTCAAGAGTTCCAATATTCAAGAGTTCTAATATTCACGAATTTAAATATTCAAGAGTTCCAATATTCAGAAGTTCCAATATTCATGAGTTCTAGTATTCCCGAATTTAAATATTCAAGAATCCTAATATCCACGAATTTAAATATTCAACAGTCCCAATACTCCCAAGTTCCACTACTCGCAATTTCCAACACGCATCGCATCTGCAACCACTCCAAGTATCCCCACCGTTCCCAAGTTGAATCACCTTCGAGTGCGAACATTAAAAAATTCCGAATCCTTTGGATTCCACAACTTCGGAATCCTTCTACACTCGATCTCCCCGAGAATTGTCAGGAAGCGTAAACAGCTGCACGCGAGCGGACAAGGGCCGAAACGTTAATGTCTAGAGCCCTGTACACACGGTAGGAAAGAAGCTCGTGCGAAGGACCTTTCCAAAGGCCTCTAGGAAGCGACCCTGAGCATGAACAGCCAATCATCTGCGACCGTGGCGTCGATGACGCGACGCTTCGCATACATTTCCCGTCGGATCTCAGGAAACCGAGTGCGGTGCCAATGATCTCTCCCATTTGGAAATCCCGGCACCCCTAACCAGAAGAAGAAAGCCAATGGCGGCAGGTCGAAGCTCCGCTGCGCCTAATCCCTGTTATTGGCAGTAATCCGATTTGGGGGACCGGTGCAGGTTCGAGCCGAGGTCGGAATCAAGTCATCGAAATATTTCGGGGCTCTCTAGGACGCGTGTCGCGGAAGAAGGAAGCGCGGGAGGACGACGCGTTCGAGGGATTCTTTGTGGCACCGACAGGGGCGGATGGATCAGAGCCGCCATTAATTTGTCTAAGCGGATGATAAATGCCCCGGGGAATTTTTTCGAGGGTACGAACCCGCGGCGCGCGGCCCCTCCGCCTGGAAGCCCGCGCGCCGTCCGACAACGGTGATCCTTTTATTTCTCATCTTCCGTTCCACCTCTCCTCGTTTCTCCGTCCCCCTTTCTCTCGCCGTCTCTTCCTCTCCCCCCTCTCTCCCCTCTCGCCAACGTGTTCGATTCTTTTTTTCGTTGCGAAGGAAAAAGGATTAATGGGCTTATAGCATGACACTGTCGGCCGATAAGATCGCGGGGCCCGTTTTACCTGTCGGCTGCCGGCCCCTTCTCCGGGGCCCCGATCATATCACGGAAATCCAAATCGCGTCGTGTATCTCGTAAGTCCGCTGGTAAGACAGGCCTTTTATCGATTTTTGATCAAGCTGCCTCGACTTTGTACATCTGACAGGCCGGGCCCCCGCGGGCCCCTCCTTTCTCCGCGGGAACTATAGCGACACGGCCGCGGTGTCGTTCGCTTCGTGGTAATTTCGGTGAACGCGACGATCTCGAAAACGGGATCCGGAGACTCGTAATTATCCTGTTCCACTTCGAAGGACGCGGTAAGCGGCTTTCAGTTTCGACAGATAAAACGATAGCCAAACGATCTCCCCGATTACGATCGGGACGAAGTCCTGTCCAAACACTCTATACACCGTATCTCGACGGCGCGGAATTCTTCTGACGAACGTTCTGCTCGAAAAGTGGTTTAAAAGTTGTCTTCTCGTTGTACTCAGATTTTCTCGAAAAATACGGAACGCCGAATTTTGCAGTCGTTTTATACTGTTTCGCGGAATTTATACCGTATTGCACTTGTGGATGTTTATCTTGGAAATCAGCTGTTCGATTGGGTTGAATCTTCGTTCTGATTTAGAAGGTTCGAATTTTGTTATTTGAAACTTCCAAGCCCTTCAATTAATTTACAACACATATTGTATTTAGGAAAAATATCTGCGTTGGGGTAATTTATTTTTATTTGACTTGTCTTATTTATTTTATTTATTATTTAACATTTCTATTATTTTAAATAATATTCTATTGTTTATTCTATTATTCTACTATTTATTCTATTATTCTATTATTTATTCTATTATTCTATTATTTATTCTATTATTCTACTATTTTAAATAATATTCTATTATTTATTCTATTATTCTACCATTTTAAATAATATTCTGTTACTTATTCTATTATTTTAAATAATATTCTATTATTTATTCTATTATTTTAAATTAAATAAACCAATGTATATACAAAAATAAGATAAATAAAACAAGTAAAATAAAAATAAATAAATAAGCGAGCAATGGACTCTTTGTTATTCAGCGTCCACCGTCTGCTCACAAAAATATCTTGAAATTTCCGAGCCCCCTTTGTCCCCCCTCCAGACGCCGCCGCAGCAGCTATGCAAATGACGAAAATAAAATTGTCCACGACGAGTTTCAAACAACAAAGCGCCGAAGCCGCAGATTGCATTAGCTCGCAGGAGTTGGCGAAAGAGTTTCGAAAAAGAAGAAAAAATATGCTCGTCAGAGGGAACGCCGGGTAACTTCGTTAACGCGGCGTCGCCGCCGCGACTCGGAAGGGTCGCCGCAGCCCTTATCAGTTCCAGACCGCGAGTTTTCTTTTTTCTAATCGAGAAAAGGCGGACTACGTTATCAGAAATCCTCGTTCACTAAATTAATACCGATCGCATCTTATTTTATTTCAAACGAAACCAAAGACCGCAGTAATCGGAGCATTCCAGTCTGTCCACGACCCGTCGATCTCGAAACGCGTGGATCGATCCGCGAGTCGTATCTGGGTGAACAGGCCCCGGAATCGATCCTTGGAAACGAGCGCTTAAGGCGGCCCGTCGTTTCGGGAAACGGCAAAAAGACGCGGAACAGGTTCCGGAGCAAAGGGTGCCACCGGCTCTGTTCGCAAACTCACCGGTCTCTTGGAGGGTTCCGGGCCCTGTCTGATGATCTCCAAGGGCACCGGTATCGACGGCCTGCCCAGGTACCAGTCCTCCCGTGGATTGTAGTTGTCCAGGAGCTTCAGCAGGCGTGGCACGTTCACGTAATTATCGTCGTCGAAGTGGCAGAACCATCTGAAAAGCAGCAGGACAGGCCCGATTTAAATCCTCGTTGCTGAACGACACGCCACCGCTTGTAAAAACATCTTGTCCCGCGATCCGGCCATTAACCGGACCAATTATCGTTCGGACCACGGTGCCAGACACTTTCCGCTTTCGGAAATTCCCGTGCAAAATTTCCGCGAAACACTTCTGCCCGTATAATTTCGAAGTCGGCCGTCGTGATCGCGGCGGAATGCGCGGAATTGAATTGCAAATTATAACGCGTTTAAGATCGAACGAGATTTAAAGATGGCAGAGACAATTGAATGACTGGAAAGTTCGAGATTCCGGGTACAGTTTGCTGGAGACTGGAGCAATTCTGGTGATCGGTGCTTATAAGAGACGGGAATTCAGTAATTTCTCCCGGAAATGCCGAATTTCGGTTTCCGTGTATTCCTCAGATCATTCGAAGTAACTTTTTCCTCAGCGAAATTGCAATCCGCGGCTTCGTTCACGAATTATTCGCGAAAAACAGTGACCAATGGCAGGCGAGATCAGCCGGCGCGAGGCGACCGAGCCAATCGGCGGGGCTGGGCTTCGCGCGCTCGTTGACTGGGCCGCCCCGCGTCGGCCGAGCCGGCTCCTCATTGGTCAGTGTTTTTTGTTAATAACTCGTGAACGGTGCGTCGGAGAAAATTTTTGTAAAGGAAAAAGTTGCTTAGTATTGCTTCGGGAATCCCTCATTTCCCGGAGGTACCGTTATTACACACTCGAGTAGTACACTCGGTAAAGTGTCCCCGATTTTCAAGGATCTTATTTTTCAACGCCATCAATTTACAATTTTCCCTCCACGTTGCAACGTGCTCGATCGACAACACTGGCAAATTCTCATCGATCTCGATTCGCTCGAAAACCTCCGGCTCCTAGATACAATCTGCAGAAAATTCAAGCGATTGCAGCAGCGATGCCAGCGATACCAGCGGTCAGAGAAGAGTTCGGCCCGTAAAAATGAGGATAGCATCGTCGTCGATAAAGCGCCGACAACGGCCGATAATTGCTCGGTTATGCGATATAGGCGGATAAGGCATAGGTCGTCCGATCTAATCGGGCTGGGGGCGTTGGAAAACGGCGGGCTCTTATCGGATCGTGGTGTAGCGACAACGAAACGCAATCGCGAAGGCGTTTCCCGGAACGGCTAGCGCGTTCGCGAGTCGTGACAGAGGGCGCGAAACGGCGTTCGCCGAGCGGTACACGCGAAATAAAATCTCCCTAACGAACGGTTCCGGTGCGCCATTAGCGCTACCGGGTGGCCGCGGACGTTCGATACGTGCCCGACAAGGGCCGGCATCGTTAATACACCTGAATTCCAGCTTTAATGGCATAGCCGGGTACACCGGAGAGCTGAAACGACGTCTCGGTCCGCTTCATACGCGCGCGCCGGATCGTATCTTCCGCGTGAACCGGAACGATGCAGCCGGAGAAGCGTAGCGCGACAACGTTCCACGGCTATGCGAATCGTGCACCACCCGTCTGCCAGCTGCGGCTGACCGATTTTTATCGAATCGGCCGCCGCTCGATGGGAATTTATGCGCCGTTTTCCTCGCCGCTCCATGGAAAATCGCCGCGAAATGATTTTCCACTTAAAAGATAGCCGCGAGATTTACCGACGCGCTCTCTGAACCAGCTAATGGAAAATATCGATTCGAGGTTTCTTTTGAACCCCGTTCACCCTGTTTCAATGGGGACGCTGTAAACTTTGATTCGGGGCTGGCCGAGTTCGAAAATTTCTACGGGGATCCTAAATTTATTCGAAGCTATTCTTCTAAAAGTCGTGATATTTTTCTCTCGATCGTCCGACAGGATTTCTCCGTATTTTCAGATGGTTTTGGAATCCTTTTCAGAATCAAATTGATCTTGTCTCGAAGCTGACGCTTCTAGCTTCGATTCAAACTATTTTGCATTGAAAAATACTCGCGGGAGTCAATATTAAAATCCATCTGAAATTGAGTCTCTGAAAGCCGAGTCGTTTCTCTCGGAATCGGTTGTCGGCGTTTTCCGATTCTCAGAAATAATTTGCCGATTATCTGGAGACCACCATGGTCACATTCGAATTTGGACACTTCGAGCTTCAATTTAAGCCCGATAAAGTCCAGAAACTCCCGCGGGAATGCAACTTTACGTAGCTTCGAAGTGCACCTGTCAAGAATTGCGTCAAAAATTGGAATCGATTGTCGGCGTTTTCCGATTCCCCGAAATAATTTGCCAATTATCTGAGGGTCAAGGTGGTCTCATTCGAAACTGGACACTTCGGGCTTCAATTTAAGCCCGACAAAGTCGAGAAAATTCCGCGGGAATACAACTTTACAAAAATTGTCGCGGTCGATCGAACGTCGAATGACGCAAACGTTCAATATATCAGAACGTTTCATCAATCTTATGATCCTGAAGGAATGCAGCCGCATCGCAGAAACGCGAACCGCGGAAAAAGTCTCGGGAGAGCCTTTAATCCGCGCAGGGTACGTATTCAGGCCGAGCGAGAACCGGGACGCCATGAATCATTTATACGGCCCTGGACCCGGGGCGCCGTGGCTAATTTGAAATCTGCCGCGGCAGAAACTCTTTCCCCCGTGGAAAAGCCGAGGGAAACATCTTTCTGAATCGCGCGAGCCGCCCGGCTCGTTTCACCGGGGTCGCCGGCGAATCGGATTTATTAAGCGGCGTTTTTCGGAGCGGCGCGAGTCGGCCGCGTCTGTCGCTCGCGAAAAACCGAGGCCGCCTCGTGTAAAATCCGAGCACTCCTTGTACCTTCTCTGCAATCTGCATATATATTAGGAGGAACACAGGGCGCGCACCGTTCCACGGCAGAAAATAAAGGCGCGAAACTACCCCTTCCCCTTGCCCTTCCCCTGTGGCTTTATACCCGGCGCGAGATTGAGTGCCTTCTCCGACTCTCCGACCGGGGCTCTCTCGCTCCTCCCTCTCTATCGAGCTCTTAACGGGCGAATTAATGGCCTCGGGTACTCTAACAGGAATTGTGTATCGGTCGGTTATTATATTTCGCTGGATACGCCGCGCGGTCGCCCTGCTCCACGAATGCAACGCGAATGCAACGCGAATGCATTCGCAGACGCGAACGTCTTTTCCGATTCTGACGCTTTTAATTCCTCGCGCTGAAAAGATCTCGAACATGATCTAGGAAATAGAAATGTTGTACGCTTCACTTACATGAAAATAGAATTTTGCGAATACAACAGATTCGCCCCAATTATCCTTCGACTTGCAAACAAAAATGAACGATCTCAGAAGAGGAGATGCGATCGTTCGAGCCTCGCGGTCTATTTTTATAATTTTTATTTGTTAATAATTATAGTTAAAAGTTCGTAATATAATTTAAAGCAACAGTTTTTATCATAATCGAAAGTTTTAGATTAAAAGTTCGTTAATAATGATAAAAACGAGGGCGCTAGGCTCGTATAATCGTATACTGCTCTTCCCAAATTGTCCATCTTTGTTTACAAGCTGAAGAAAAATCAGGGAAGAAAGCTGAAGAAAAATCATTATTAATTACATCAAATTGTAACACACAGCACGATAGTGTTCAGAGAATTTGTAGCTTCGTTTCGACGACAGTTTCATCGTACGCGTTAAATGCGCGTTAAATGAAAGACGATACAAAATCAGGTCGAACAAAGACAAACAGAAAGGATTTGACCTGCGGTAAGAAGATCTTTTCTCGAAGGATCACGAATAGGTCGGGAGGGTTGGAGAGAGATTAAGCGAGGGCCGCCCCTGTAAAATTCCGAAAATCGGGCCAGATACTCCCGGGAGGAAGTGTGCACACCTCGGGCGTTGTTTGTCAAATAAGACGAGCACGATAAAAGACCGGCCAGCAGAGTTTTCGAAGGGTGTCTCCCCTCCGCGCGCCGGGCCCCGGGAAAACAATTGGCCGAGTCGAAGGGAACGGGCCGCGACGGGACCGGACAAAACTAAGCCGGCGGAGCACGGAGCACGATCGTGGCACGGTCCGCACACGTGCAGCCCCGGGGCCCCGCGGGGGAAATTATTGATTATTAAACTGGGGCCCCGGCGCGGCAACGGCAACTATCCTGAAACGCCATAACCGAGTCGGAGAGGCTCGCCCCGACCGGTCGAGTCTGGATTCTATCGCGCGATTCCGCCAGAAAGCACTTCGAAACTCGGGATACGACCGCGTGCGCGATATACATTTTTTACGTACAAAATTTTCCTGTCGATATTATAAATTAACTAAATAGTTGCATCGACGTATCTTTATCGATTCGTCGAGACTTCGCGGAGACTTTGATTTCCGTGAAGTCATTCGGTCTTTGATTGTTCGATCGCATAAAATAATATGTAAATAAATAAATAAAATAAATTCGAATAAATATCGAATCGGATAAGAATTTATTCGAATAAAATTTTATTCGTACTATAAGAATTTTTCTGGTACAGGAATTCGCGTACGAAAAACTTGTTCGAATGACTTATTATTATTAATTTGGTTTTATTAAAATTACTTTGATTAATTTAGTTTATTATTTTTTATTAAATTAATTTTTCACTGTAACACTCTGTTATTATTAGGCGAATAATTTATTCGAATACAATATTCGAGAATCGAGTATTTATTATGATAATAATAAATTATTATTATCTGTGTGTGTGTATGGAAATTCACAGACGAATATTTAAAGAAAACGCTTGGAAAATCTGATCGGAAAAATTAATAAGGAAAGCTGAGAATGCAACGTCGCGAGCACCATCGACTTTATTGCTTGGGAATTTCGATGAAATCTTTTTCCTTTCTTAAAAGGAATATTTAATAGATAGGAAGATCTAATAAGCGATCGATCAAATAAACGTTCGCTTCGATCGATGGATTCGATCGATCTGAAGACTAGAAGTGGGCTTCCATAGACCTTGGTCTTCCATCGGCTCGTTATCGTCGCGTTAACATTTGGAACGCGGTCTCCTTTCCCGATCCCACGGGAAAACTTCAAAGCGCGCTCGAA